GCCCTCAACGTGTCCGGCATGTACATCATCGGCAGGGGCTCATCTGGGAGCACAGGGCACACGTACTTTGTCTTGGCCAGGGCGCAGTGGTACATGTGGATGGCGTAGTCCGTGGAGCCACCGCCGGGAAGTGTTGCCGCGGAGATAATACCTGGGAAGCGCACACTGCGGAAGTCCACGCCCATCTTGTCGCGGTAGTAGGCGCCGAGAAGCTCAGCAAAGACCTTGGTGACACCGTACACTGTAGAGGGGTTCAGGACTGTGTCATCCTTCGTCATCACCTTGCCGCACTTGTCACCGAATGCGGCGATTGTGCTTGGAATGAAAACACGCATCTTGTAGTCACGTGCCAAATCAAGTGCATAGCGTGCTGTGGAGATGTTCAGGTCGAGGGCAAGCTTCGGCTCGTTCTCACCGCGAACAGACATGATAGCGGGAAGGTGGCAGAGCCACGTTGGCTTGAAGTCCTTCACCAGCTGCTCGTAAGCATCACGGTTCATGCAGTCCAACTGCTGGTACCCCTTCGAGCCAGCGAGCGGGTGCTTTGCATGGGGCTTCACCATGTCGGTTGTGAGAACAGAATCGGCGCCAAACCTCTCGCGCAGTGCGAGGCTGAGGTCTGTACCGATCTGGCCAAGTCCGCCAGTGATGAGAACGCGCTGTGCGTTAGGGTTAAGGAACAGACGGGTGTTGCGCAGCATTGTTTCACAGTGAAGATATCAAGCCTTTTACTCCTTCATTTCATTACACAGAGAAAGAAATGGTTAGCATGAGTGGTATAGAAAAAAAAAAGAGAATAGAAGAACGCAGAAGAGCAAAGAAGATTTAAAAAAAGTGGTTATTAATTGAAGTGGTGTAAGCATATTGTTTGTATGTGTGTGGTAAAAGTACAAAGTAAGCTATTGCTCGTATTATTTTTTTTTTCGTTACTGTTTTTCTTCTTTTTTTTAACAGTATTAGTTTGTGTTTTTGTACACATTTTTTTTTGTTCTTTGTTTTTTCACGTTTAACCGAGTTTGTTATCGTCAGTATGTGATATCCTTTGACGCTGCTACTTCTGTTGCCGCTGCTTTTATATATTTATGTGTATAAATGAGTGTGTGTGCGTGTGCATGTGTATTCCACTACATCGTCCTTTTTGGCAATAGTTGCGGCTATTGTATGAAATCTCACATAAGTCGGCGCTTCTTTGCTGTGTTCATGTATGTATGTAAGACCCATTCCGTCTCTGCATCATCCATTTCAAGTGTTCCAAGTGTGATACGGTATGGTGTGAGTTCCATTCGTGGTCCAATCTCCGTGAGTTGTACTTCGCGTCCCTTTACTACCTTAAAGGTATGATGCCGCAAACTGATAAAGTCATTTTGGTTGTCAAATGTCAAGACACGGGTGGCCTCTGATTTTGGCACAGGAAACATATACTTGAGTACATCTCGCACACGATGACCCAATTTTGTGGTAAAGTTTTCAAAGATGAGATGAGGATATTGTTCAGACATGGTTCCCACATTTTCAATATCATGACGAGTAACAAGGTTGTGAATAGTAAACACCACAGTGGGTCCAAGCGGTAAGTGGGATATAGTTAAACTGTCAGGAACACCTTGCGACTCCTGCAAGACAACAACATCAGAATATTGTCCACGTCGTGCGGCATCCATGAGTTGACGTACGCTAAGATTTCCTCGATTCATGCGCACGGCGTTTGGTATGATGAGACGTATTTCCTTTGCAAACTCCAACAACTTCTGTGAGGGTTCACGAGATGTGGTGACGAGTACATGTGGGTCCTCTACTCCCGCAGTGGCGTACTCATCATCCACAGTGCTCTGCAGTGTACGGGTCTGATCATCATCCAATTCTGTAAATTTCTTTAAGGCGACGGCGTCCTTGCGGAGATGTCCTGGTAGTGGTGTGGCCGTGTTTAAGGCATCGCGGAATTGTTCCTTGCGTGCATGAATGGCGGTGTGCACATGTTCGTTTTGTCGGCGTTCAAGGAACTCTTTCCGCTGCCGAATGACACTACGACGCATCTAAAGATAGTTAACGTTTTTTTTTTTTTTTTTTTCGTGCTATTTGTCCCACCGGGATTATCAACTATTGTTGTTGTTGTTGTTAGGGAAAATAAAACTCTCTCTTTGTGTCCGTGTGTGTGTGTGTGTGTGTGTGTGTGAAGTGGTTTGACCCTTCTGTGGCTTCTGGTATAAACCCTTTCTTTTACTGTATAGAGAGAATGGTGGTAAGTTAAAGGTAGTAAGGGAGTTAACATTAAAGATAGATATATTTATATACATATAGAGTTGAGTATGTTATTACCAGTAAAAGATGTGATACCTGTTTTGAGCACACTTCCATTCTTCATTTATCAGGAATAGGAAGAATACAAAAGGTAATAATAATAATAATAATAATAATAATAATAATAATAATAATAATAATAAGAAAGACAAAAAAGAATAATAGAATAAGTGCAGCAACATGATATGCACATATATAGGTGACAGTTACAAAGAGGAGAGAATCAGTGTTTCACTGACTACCACAATAAGTAACTGTTATTGTAACTGATATATTCACTAGAATAATGCAAACACACAAGCATACACTGATATATATATATATATATATATATTCACACAGAGAAAGATAATGAGAGAAGAAGCAATGTTAAGAATACACTTTCTGGGATATCGTTTCCTTTACTTCACAGTCTCTTTCAACTGATGGCATAGAATACAACATGGTGATGTCTCTCGCACTCTTGTCTTCAAATATTTTTCCGGTCGTTTAAAAAAACTTCCAACGTCCAGTTGCGATGGCTGAGTCATTAAGGCATCCTCATCCGCTAAATAACTCATCACACAATGACCGTGATAGGCATGTGAACAGGCAAACACCACAACTCCTGTTAATGCGGGTTGATGACAGATAGGACAGATAGATACACCAGGCTCTACACGAATAGCCGCAGCTCGACGTCGGCGTAATGTACTGCAGTATTCCCCCAAATCACTCACAGCCACTTGCACAACCGCTTCCATAAACCGCACATCATTGGCTTTACTACACAGTACATTAGCAATACAGTTACCAATATGAGGCATAGGTTCATTCTCTGGCATTAACTCAATAACATAAGCAGGATCTAGTTGAATATGGAGACCATTATAACATGGATCCACAACAGCTTTTAGTAATGATTGCATTAAGTTCAAAGGTACAATACAAGAACTATTTGGAGGAACCAAACGACTAATACTTTTATCATTATTATTATTATTATTATTACTGTTAACCATAGCATTACTATTACTATTAATAGTAGTACTACTATTACCATCAGAGGTTGACCTAAAAGAACTATTAGCCATACGTAATGCTTCTTCTTCAATATCATACTTCTTTGCTATACTAGCCCAAGTCTCACCTTCTGTTACTCGGTGTTCAAAATATTTTTCTCCCTTATAACTAGGTAATGTAGAGTTTACCTCAAATACCATATGAACAAGTTTTTTATAAAGTTCAAGTTGATCATCTGCATTTGGGACATCGGCAATAAATTGTACAGCTTTCTTCATATTTTTCATATCATATACAATCGTACGAAGTCCTTCTTCTTCCTTTCCCATACGTGCAAGAAGAAATACAGACTCTTCCAGTAATTGATGTTTTTTACATAATGCATATATTTCTTTTAACTTTGGTAAATAGGTGTAATTCTCACGAAGGAATGTCAGTAATCCAGATGGTTCATTCTCTATATAAAGTGCAGCCACAAGTTGAGCTCTTGTTTTTAATAGAGCTGCATAAGCAATTCTATCATAACTCTGTAATGCCTTTAAATAAGCCCACAAATATTTTCGTTCCGTTCGTTCTAATCGTTGTAAAACAGTTGATGGAGGAAAGTATAAGAAAGATGATTCGGATTTGGATTTCGTTTCTATTGTATTCTCTTCATCTGTGGTTGTATGTACGGCATGTATATGTTCAAGAAGAAGTTGAATCACTTTATCTTCATTTCTAGCAAAAAGTTCAGGTAACATTTCTATTGTTTTGGTAACGAGTTTCTTTTCACGAATAAATGTAAACAACTGATCACTACGATCTACTTGTAAAAGAACCTGAAGAGCTTTATCATTTTGTCCACTTAATTGTAAAAGTAAACCATATGTATCTCCAAGAGCTTTGGTTTGTTCATCTGATATACCAGTTGAATTTCCCTTTAGTTTCCATTCATTATATCTTAACTCAACCGCACGACATACAACTTCAAGGCGAAACATTCCTTTAAACTTTTTTACTGCAGATTGAAAACATATCACATCCTTCTCTAAACAACGGAGTAAGACAAGTTCATAATATTCCTCACCAATTCGAGTTTTCACCTTTTCTTCGTGTTTTTCACTACTTTTATTATTATTGTTATTATCGTTAATATAATTACTACTATTATTATCATTATTATTATTATTATTATTATTATTATTTTTATCAGTAGTAGTAGTAGTAGTAGTAGTAGTAGTAGTATTTTCCTTCTTAGGGAGTACATCAACTAATAAGTAGGAAACCCCTTGTTGATCAAATTGCCATATCCATCGCTCCCATTCCGCATAATTATTACCAATAATATCTTTTAAACGAGAAACCACTTCTTCATACTTTTTCTCTGAAAAGAGATGTTGAAGAAATTGTCTTCCAATATCTTCTAACTTATGCCTATTCAGTAAATGACAAGAAGCATATTCGTATGCTTCTGCATAGTGGTGTATTTTAATAAGATACTCTACATGATGATCATCATCTGTGGGTATAGCCTTTACAATAGCATCTACAGAGACAATCAAATACATAGAATCTGATAATGAATTTAATCCCATAGTAATAGAAGAAGAAGAAGAAGGAACTGTTGTAGTCTCTGATAATGTAGTCCCTGTTGTTGTTGTTGTTGTTGTTGTTCCTATACCAGCTGTAATCCCAGAGGAATAGGCCAAACTAAATTGAAGTGGATGTTTATACTTTGCATGTAGACGTCCACGATAAACATCTACAAATGTTTCCCGTTCCACTATACGCACCTCCAACTCCTTCACACATCCCTCCTGTTCAACTATACATGCCAAGAGAATATACCGATTAGCCCCAAAGGGTGCGATTCCACAAATACGATACGCCTCTCGCAATGTGTGTGTTTGAATGGCCGGCTGCACATCGACGTGATGTGTGCGGGACATAAACTCCGTTCCCCACTTCAGTCGTTCCTCCATTCGCAGTTCACGAATAGAAACAATTTGCACCCAATGGCCCCAACCACACGTCAGTGTACGCGGGGGTTCCCACACAAGTGAACAGCGGTATAATCCCAATTGCAATGCCTCTTCCGGTCGTTGTATAGATTGCAAGATAGCCTTCGCCGTGTAACTGTACAGGTGAAGTCCACGATCATTTGTCCATGCAATTACATCCGGTCCACACCAACGCACGGCGTAGACTCTTCCTCTTCGTTCTTGCAGAACAGTGGCTTTACGATGACCTAAAAACATTGTTTTTGCTATTAACACAACTTTATCACCAGTACCTAATATAATAGAACGATCATCACTTTTATTATAGCGGGGATGAAGAGCCATAGATTGTATAGGAGCATCAAACTCTTTTCTATAAAAATCACGTTCATCATATAAATTCTGTACGGTCAGTACACCGGCTTTATCAGAGGAACCCACATACTCTTCATTGGCATTGCAACTCACATCACTAATGGGATCTGTGTGTTTCTCAAGCGTGCGAAGTATGAGTCCAGATGCATCTAACAGCGCCACCACACCGCGATTCGTCCCAACAAGAATAAAACGGTTAAAGGCGACTACCACCATAATATGTTGACCACGTAATCCATCTAGTGGGAATCGTGTAAATGTGAGAAGATTTTCCTGTTCTTCTTCTTCTTCTTCTGTGAATTCTTCTTCTTCTGTGGTTTCTTCTTCTTCATCATCATCATCATCATCGTAGGAATCTGTGTAGTACGACTCTTCCTCATCCACTTCCATCTCTTCCACTACCTCCTCGTATTCGTCATCATTATCATTCTTATCATTATTATCATTGGAGTGTAAAGGTGGTGGTTGTGGTTGTGGTTCTTCTTCTTCTTCATTTTGTTGTTGTTGTGGTTCTTCTTGTGGGGAATGGACATTCATTAATAAACCTAACAACTATGTTAATCGGCTCCACTGTAGTATTGTTAATAATAACAATAATAATAATAATAATAAT